TTTTCTCCTCCCCAAAATGCCCTTCATCATGAATATCGAAGGGCAACGTGGAATCTGAAATCAGTCTTCACAAAATTTGTACTCACACCGTTCTCACAACACGTAGCACTGCATTAAGAACATATTCCCATGAATCATGAATAAAAAAATAATATAAAATATGGAAATATTTCAAATGCACGGCTATAAGTGTTGTGAGGAAGGTATGAGCACAAATTTTGTGAGGACTGAATCCGGTCTCAGCGGAGTCGAGCCTCGTAAATGTGACATATTGAAGAGAGTCCACCACACTGCTGATTTGTAGGTAAAGGCGTGGCAACAAGCTTTGCATCACGTAAATCAGTCTTGTTCAGGAGATCAAGAATACATAGTTTCTATGTAAGAGTGATACCATAGGAAATGGGGTAGGCTTCGGCTTCTAGCCCAAGAAAAGAATTCAATGAACCAAAGATCCTTTGATACTAGAAGTTTTATTAAAATCACCAAGCAAGTGGGACAGAAACAGATCTGTTAGCAAACTTGGGTATTGATACAACTGTGAACGCTAGCTTTCAATCTTTTAATGATCTACCCAACCATATAAAGCTGATGGTGAAAAAAGATTTGAATGGTTTATCTATCTCTAGATATTTGTAACTGTTTTCTTTTTTCCCTTCTTCGGGATGGGTGGGAATGGGTGTGAGAGAATTTTCTCGGATTTGGGGCAAGGCGGGTTAAGTCCTCTCCTGTTTTTATATTTGCTAATGTTTTCTATAAAATTTTTAGCCTGAAGTAAAGTTTGGGGCTTAAAGAACAAAGACAGAATATCCTCAATTCCAGTCATGATAATATCGTCAATGTGTAACAGAAGGTATACAATGGTGGGGTATTCTTCGCTAGTGTCCATGCAACTAAACAGGCTTTATATTGTTAAATCAAAGTTCGGCTCGACTGGGCTTGACTGCACCCCTAGGGACCACGTCTCATTCTTCAACAAGGCATTGAAAAAGCTGAACTCGAAGATACAAATGCAACTTAAAGACCAGAACTTGCGCCAAAATAATACATCTTGGTCACTACCAGAAGGAGAAATCAACTTAAAGGCCAATTTGACCAAAAAGGAACCACTCTTCTCATGGATCCACAACCAAAGACATGGGAACTTGTTTCATTGCACTGATGGTATTGTGATCAAACAACTGCTTCAACACATCCATTTTCCAGTATCTATTCTGGTCCAACAAGTCGCATATTCTTGCAATGGAATGCAGAAGTCAGGGATATGGGGTAGGGGTGAGCAAAAAAAACCAAAAAATCAAACCAACTGAAAAAATTGACCGAAACCGAACAAAAAAATCGGTTAATCGAATTGATCGGTTCAGTGTTTTTAAAAAACCAAAGGTATCGGTTCGATTTCGGTTAACTAATATAGAAAACCGACGGTTAACCAGACCGACAGGAATACATATATTTCTATATATTTTATATTTGAATTGATCGGTTCAATTAATAAATATGTATTATATATAAATATATATTTATAATATATGATATATTATTTATTAATTAAAATATAATATTTTATATATATTTATAATTTTTTATTATATATTTGTATATATTTTTATAATATATATTATACAAATTAAAAAACCGAAAAACCAACGAACCGAACTGACGGTTAACCAAACTGATCAACCAGTTAATCGACTGGTTTAGTTAAATTTTGATTACCGGTTTTTCAAAAACCAATAATACCGGTTCAGTCCAAAAAAAAGCCTCACAGTTCGATTAACTGAACCGTGAGCACCCCTAATCTGGGGTACCTAAGGATCCTCCCAAATCCAAATAGTATTTCTAGAACCAAGTTTTCTAATAATACACCCCCTTTTCAACACATCTCACCTTACAAATTCCTTTTCAAACCCAACAGTCACCCTTTCTAGGAGTGGTCCCCATGAAATATCTCATTATATATGAAAAATGTTTTTCCTTAGGAATAATTTCCCAAGTAGGTATAGGTTATGTAAGGATTCTCCACCGAATAAATTTTGCAAGAAGTGAATCATTTATGTATTTCATTCTTCTCACACAAAGACCTCCTACAATATTTGGAAGACAGATTGTGATCCAACCAATTGGAGGGTGACATCCCTCACCTACACCCTTACACGAAAGAAACCGTCTCATTGACTGCTCCATATATTCACACACACACACTAAGGGACAAGGTAGACATATTATAGGATGGAACCACAGCCACAACATGTTTAATAAGAGCAAGGCAGCCAGCAAATGACAATGTATTGGCCTTCCACCAGTAAGACGATCACACACCCGCTAAAGAACACCACTAAATGCTTCCTTTTTGTTCTATCCAAGAACAGAGGAGCTCCAAAATACTTTTCCTTCCTAGCAATGAACTTCACATGTAACTTAGAGTAATTTACCTCTTGACCTGAACTTTCACCAAAGTGTTGGAGAGACTCTTTCATTCACTGTTTCCAATTACCCCAAGGATGCTTTGCCAAAAATAATTAAATCGTCAGTGGATATCATATGAGAGACAGTAGGGCACCCTCTTGCAATTTTAATTCCCGACAACCTCCCTTCATGAACTAACTTACTCATTAGTGAAGAGAGAACATTCATACAAAATAGAGGAGTGAGAGGAATACCCCCAGGAGATTTAGAGTGATTCTTAGTAGAATGCTAAGGATGAAAGAGGCTAAACACCCTCTTCAGTATTTGGGATTTCCAACCAATTTTGGAAAGAAAAAAGTAGTTCTATTTGAAGTGGTGAATAAAGCTTTTTCTAGAATGAGTGGGTGGAAGAAAGCCTTGCTAAACCAAGCAAGCGGATAAGTAATGATTAAATCATTTAGTAACATCCACCCCTACCTATGTCATGAGTAAGTTGCTTTTTTGGAGGATAGAAAAGAGAAGGAAATTAGATGGATCAATTGGGCCAATCTCCGTAAGAGTAAGAATGTTGGAGGTCTTGGTTTTTGAAAACTTGAATGTTTAAACCTAACTCTTCTCTACCTAAAACTGCATGAAAGCTTATCGATAATAAGAATTCATTTTGGGCATGAAGCATCCATAAAAGGCAAGTATTACCCCGATGCTCAACTTCCACAGGCTTAGAAAGGATCTAATCTTTCCTAGAGTATCCGGTTGGAAGCTTAGGAAGTCGAGTAGGGTCTAAAATTTACAAAACCCTCCCCAAATTTGCCCAATTGCCATCACTATTCTTTCTGGGCTTGGAATAGTATTATTGAAGGTCAAAATCTGCTTACTAAATGAATCCTTCAGCGAATGGAAGTTTGATCAATATTTGGGAGGACCAATGGATTCCTGGTCTTCTTTGGTTTTAAAATTCAATATGCTATGCATCCTAACTATGTTTTGTCTAAAGTCATTGAGCTCATTTCAAGTCCTCCAAAGCACTGGAATGCTAGTTTGATAAGATCCTTGTTCTCCCCTATTGAAGTTAATTCCTCTTGGGATTTCTCTAAAAATGATGAATTTTTTGATTGCTGCTCATCTGATCTGAATACTAGTAATGAGTTCAGATTGGTGCCCCACAAAGCGCACCCTACATGCACATCTCAATGTGCATTGGGAACATCTACCATACCTATCATGGGGAGATGTTCCCAATACACAGTTGGGATGTGCTGTGAGGCACGCTCTAGAGGGTGCCAATGCAAATTCACTGGTAATCGTAGCTTCTCATCGAGTATACAAAAGATCCCCCGAAAATTAAAAAATTTCTCTAGAAAAGTTACCAAGTGATTGTAGTTATGCAAAGACTTGGAGAAAGGTATTACTTCTGATGATTCATGCCTAATTTGTAATGTTGCTAGTGAATCAATTATTCATATGCTTATGGAATGTGGTTTTGCTCAAGCAGCTTGGCTTACAATCCTAAACATTAGGGCCTCATTTGGTGTGTCTTTCCACATGAGTTGTTAACAATTTAGAAGCCCAACAACCCACGTTTTCGTCTTTCCCCATTTGGTTGGGGGGAGATCTAGCCATCTAAAGACTGCCAAAAAGACGCGAAAAGCTCACTTCAAGTTTATTTTGAGAAGCTAGAAATGAAACTTGCCTTTTTTCGTTGCCAATATCTTTATATAAAACCCACTACTTTTGGCTATCAAATCTTCCAAAAGATCTTTCAAGAAAGACGTACCAAATGGCACCTAGATCTAGGGATCTGTAGTTTCAGTACTTATGATGATTGGGTGGAGAGTTGGTTTGCTGCTGCTAGTGGGTCCAGTGAGGACCAGCTAAGATGGATCGCTCTCCATTTCATCCTGTGTTGGGGAATTTGGAAGGAAAGATATGATTGGCATCTCAATGCAATTGGTAGTAACCCAGCAGATTTGATGAGCAAAAACCTGACTGAGACTTCTTTAGCAGTTTCCACAATCTCCTGTCTCAACAAGCATCTTCTGGGTAGCTAGCTGCTTTGTGCCCGAAAGCTGCCTCCCCTTGGGTGGGTTAAATGTAATTGTGATGTGGCTTACAAATTTACTATCACCCTTCTCATTAAGCTACTTTGGCATGTGCTATCAGGGAACATTCTGGTAACCAGTTGCCAGCAACCAATAAAAAAGACCTGTGTTTCAGCCATGGACGCTGAAAACAGGATTGTATTGTCGCATCGAAGATTGCAGCTAGCAAGAAACATTTTCGAATCCTATCGCTGGAAGTTTGCTGCCGTTGATGGAACAGTTTCGGATGTCAGATCTGTCTTCTCGTTTGGACGAGTGCATTTTTTACTGTGTTTCAAGATCTTTTAATTCTGTGGCCCATCAAATTGCAAAACATGCGGGCTTGCATTTTTTTAGCTGATTCTGTTGGACTGAAACGATGTATCCTCTCTTTTACCACGCTATTTAATGAGCAAAGCACAAGTTTAAAGAAAGCAATGTTTGACACTACAACCGTTCTGCTTTCCTAGTTCAAACACTACCCTTTTTTTTGATAATTAATTCAAACACTACCTTGGATATCATAAATGCTAACACCAATAAATCCCTATAAAGTTATCTATGGTGCCCAGTGGGACAAGTTCATTAAATCAACACCAATACCTTGTCCTACCATCAACTATCATAATTACACGCTGAGAATAACAAACATTCAGGCTTCAATTTAAAATGTCTAAAACTTTGCAGACATTAGTCAACAGCAGGCATTAGAAAAGGTGCCATCATAGGTAACGAAGCAAGACCAATGAAAACATGTACATTTCGATTTATTACTTTCCCATATATTCAGGGTGGTGACAGAAGGGAAATTATTGCAAGGAGTCTCTTACATTGGCCAGCCAGCTAATACTCAGACTTCAAGAAAGTGTCCGCCTGTTGAAAGACTCTATAGTTAAGTTGGCTGTAAAGGCTGGAATGGAATTCATCTTCCGTATAAATATCTCTATCTGCAAAAGAAATGCCAAAATGGTCTTATATCTATTTTTCCTCCTCAAGTAAGAAGACAGTCCAATAACAAGACCAGGAATTTAGAGAGACAGTTTAAAGCCCAAGTCCCAAACAAATTGTCAATCAATTCCCGTAGGGACTGATCCATCCCTAATGGTGGCTTTGTTCTGTTTATGGTTTAAAATGTTGTGAAATGCCGTTAATGTTGCCTGACATATGTCAATGTTGAGGCTCACCGACATGAAAATGGATGGTAATATAAAAATTACATTATTTCGGTCGACATTTCCTATATTTCGGAAATGTCAACCAAATTGGTCCAAATAACAAAAAAAAAAAACAGTTTTTCCTATTATGTCGACTAATGTACATTAATAATATAGTATATTATATTATTATAATACAGTATATTAATATAAATTATTCCATTAATAATTTCTATTTAATATTTCAAATAAAATAGTTATAAAAAAGAATTAACAAAATATAAAAACAAAAGAATAAATTAATTACTTTATAATATAAAACATAAAATATTTTTTCAAGTAATAAAATATTAACTAGTTAGTATTTTTTTAAAATATTTATTAAAAATCAGAATGAATTTATTAAATTTATACTAAATCATAATTTATTATAAGTTTAGTTTTAAAAATCATAATAAATTCATTAAGTTTTATAAGAAACCAGAATTTATCATAATCTTAATACTTCAAAAAGGAGAATCAGTTTATTAAATTTATAATAAAACATAATGTATTATAAAAATCAGAATAAATGTATTTCTATTTTCTAGTGTGAAATAAATATATTAGAACTTATAATAAATCAGAATTAAAAATAAGAAAAGAAAATATAAGATAACCTTGTAAAAAGATCAAAATGCATAATAAATTAGTAAATCGTCATTTACTAATTTGTTATTGATCTTAGTTTCTTAGATTTATATAATGGTTGGGAATAAGATAATCGTCTAGAAATATGTATTAATGCTTATTTTACAAAATATCATTGCATATTTTCACATATTTATTAATATTTCAACAATGTCTCTAATTTTTACAATATTTCCCCTCGACATTTCCGACATATGTCCTATATTTTGGTAAGCGACATTTCCATCGACATTTTAAACATTGGTTCTGTTGGATAGTGTGTATGCCCTTAGCTCCAACTGATGTATTCAAAATGTTCCCACCCTTCTTAAAATTGGATTTCCGCTCTTCCGGCCAAGTTCTTTGGCATATAGCTTCCTTGATCAAAACATTGTCCCTCACATCTAAACGAGGGCAGGCCCAGAGGCTTTCTCTTGGCTCATTTTGACTTTTTTCAGGACTCATCTGGTCTAAACTAATTGCCAGAGCCAGTCTCAGACAAGTCATCGCCAGAGAACAGTAACTGAAAGAGATTATCATTGGGTTAGAGTTGATTCCTTGGGCAACTTGATCCAATCCAAACCCAACCTTTTATTAACTTCTGGATTTAGCCTTTTTATTTTCATGTTAGGAAATTATATATGATAATAAGCACTTCAAATTTCACCATCAAACATCAATTTTACAGCATATACTTCACCATATTATGTTAACCACTCAACCAATAAAATCTCACATAATAACCTATTCTGCATTACATAGGAAGTACTTATGTTGGTTGCCATGGTGACCGAGCCTTAAAAGCACAACTGCCTGGATGATACCCAGATTGCTTCATCCTATTTTTTGTTTCAACTTTTAATCCCACAAGATTCTGTTAATATTCATCATCATTTCAAGTATTTATTTGTTCATTCTATTTGTTATTCTTATTGATTGATCTCACCTACTTCACCAGACTGGTCCAACCACAATCTAGTGAAATTGGTGTTTGGTTGCACATAGAGATAACAACATTTTCCACAAATAAAAATACTTCATACCTGTTGAGATATCTCAGGCTGGGAAGCATAATCACTAGCCTATATAAATGAAAAGTAAAGTCAGCACATGAGTTCAGCAACAAGAGCTACCAGAGTTCAGCAACAAGAGCATCAACAAGAGCATCTTACCAAAATGTTTGTGTTTCCTGATTCATAATCAAATTCAAGTTTCTCATCATCACTGAGAGCATAAATAGATTGGAGAGTAAACCGTGTTACTGGAATTCCATTAGGGCGCAGTTGATCATCCATTACAATCTAACAAAGATTGTGAACAGATTTGAGAGTTATTATCGTCAAATTGAAATGGAAAAATGAATAAAGCAGACTTCTTATTGTGGTGGTGGCGGTGGTAGTAGTAGTAGTAATAGTAATTGAGATTTAGATTATACCTTGTAACCAAAAAGTAAGCAACAAGCCCTTCGGAAAACTGAGATTTTCTCCGCAAAAACAGCTTTGTATCTGTTTCAAGTGCAGATTTGAACCTCAGTACAAAGAGACAGTATACTAAAAGTGCAATGCCCACAGTTCTAAAAGTCTGCTGACCACTAACCTTTCTTCTCTTTTCTCAAGTGTCGCAATTTGCCCTTTAAGCTGTGTAAGCTTTTCAGATATATCTGAGTCAATTAATTTTCCAGCATCTGCTAATCATATGCAGAACTATAAAATTAAGAATATTTCCTATTTGTAAATAATAAATTAACCATGTCCAAATATTTGCATTAAGCATTTTTCTAGAAACTACAACATATTTCAAAAGTACTTTATTACCATTATCAGGAGTTCATTGGTCAAAACACAAGCACTCTATTTTCTATTACTATTAATACTAATGCTGAGGCATGAGAAGAGAAGATTTTCATGCCGTCTCTTATTTTCTCTACTTCGTCTTCTAGTTTCTCTCTTCATCTATCTTTTCTCATTATTTCATTTTATATCTTGTCCAAAACCAACCAAGCAACTCAACTTGGTACCAGAGCAAGGTTCTCTGATTGAAAACATCCATCTTTTCTCATTATTTCATTCTATATCCCTTGATAGGGCATTGCTTTTAGAAGAATTTCAATGCAGGTTTTCAAGTGATTAGAAGTTATTTGTTTTTTTCCAGATCTTTCAACAACATTGTGAAAATTGCAGTTCTGGGATTCCTGATCTACCATGACCTATTGAGATTTTTGGGGATTATGACTACAATGGTATAGTTCCTATACTTTTTTAGAAACACCAAAACTTGTCTCACAAAGAACAGATGAATATTGAGAAAGTTATGCTATTTTTTATCATCTATATTTGTCATTAGTACAAGTATTGCTTTTGTAGGGCTTTGTGAGGGTCAAGGCTAAATGTGAAGGCAAGGTGGCTGGGTGTTCAAAAGGTCAGGTGTAAGCCTACAGTATACATATAATTTTTTAGTTTTTATGTATGTATGAATACAATGCACAAAACACATACACATACATATCTATATATGTAAATATATTTACTATAATTTTTATGCAAGTACAATTTAGTTCTTTTTATAGACAATTGACATATTTTCATTTTTATTACATAGATTCTTTCTAACATGAATACCATGTTCTAGAAATTGGATTCTTTTTTTTTTTACTTCGTTTCCTGGTTAAAACCTTCTTTACAAATTAGAATGATTTATGTATTTAATTTGCATATTTCCTTGTCTATTCATATCATCATCATCCAAGCCTTATTCAAACTTTATGGGGTTTACAGTCATCATCCATCTTCAAGCTGTCAAGAAATGTAGGTTCTCAATCTAACCCCAAAATTTTCATTGTTTAAAAGGAAAAAAAAAAAACAGAAACTGACATTCACATTGAATAGAGATAGGAGTGCCTAATCCCTACCCTTTCTCTCTCTCTCAACTTACCTTGATTGGCCTAGTCCTGGCTGAAGAACAAGGAGTCACTATTAATTTGAGCTTTTTTTACAGACCCGAGAGGCCCATCACTCCCAACTATTTATTTTCATAGGTAGCAACTCCATCTACTCGGCCATGAAGTGAAGAACCGATTTCCGACGTTCACAACCCTATATTTTCCGAATTTTCTTCTCATGAATAAGTTAATTTTCAAATGTGATTCAAACCAATAAAAAATAGTACAAATATTTCAAATCATAGCAGAAGAGGAAGAAAAGAAGAAAGAAGAATAGAGAAGGGAGAAGGGAGAAAAAAGGAGTTCGATAATCTCCTCTTTCTCCTCTCTAATCTTTTATTAATCTTACTAAGATTACATAAATTACAAATCTGCCCTTAAGTGGGCATCCACCTTATTAGCATGACAACATACTTAGAAAACATAAAGAGAATTGAAGGCCCATTAAGAACAAATAACAAGAGGAACTAATCAATAAGATAGAAATGGGCTAGGGCCCACTTGGCCCAGTCTCTCTATACTCCCCCTCAACCTGAGCATAGATATCAATCATGCCCAATTTGCTTATATAGTGAACCGGCTTTCCTTTAGGAACACCTTTTGTCGAAACATCAACCAACTATTCTTTAGAAGCAATAAATGGCAGACAGACTTCTCCTGAAGCAACTCTCTCCATATAAACTGTATGTCAACTTCTATGTGTTTAGTTCTAACATGCTGAACAGGATTATGTGCAATGTTGATAGCGGCCTGGTTGTCACGATAATAACATCATTGGCTTCTCCCGATCTATACCCAATTCTTCTAAAAGTAATCTCAACTACAAAAGTTTTGAAACTCCATGTGCCATTGCCCTGTGCTCTGCTTCAGCCGAGGATCTAGCCACTACAGACTACTTCTTACTCATCCATGATACAATGTTCCCTGCCACCATAGCAAAGTAACCTGAAGTGGATGTCCTATCATCAAAACATCTAGCACAGTTAGCATCAGTGTATGCTTCCAACTTCATGTGTCCATGCATAGCAAACAAGATATCTTTCCCTGGAGTCCCTTTTAGATTACACAGAACCCTCTTAGCAACTGCTAAATGTGTATCTTTAGAGAATGCATGAACTGACTAATTACACTAACTGCATAGGAAATATCTGGTTTAGTCATGCAAAGATATAAAACTTCTGAACTAGTCTCTAGAACACTCCCCGATCAATCAACAATTCACCACCAGTAGCTGTAAGCTGACAACTTATGATTTAGGTCTATAGGAGTGGAAGTTGGTCGAGCACGCAGTTTGCCAATCTCTGCAAGAAGATCAAGAACATACTTAGGTTGAGAAATGAAGATGCCATCATAGTTGTCAAGGCGACGCCTAGGTGACAATGACAAGGCACCCTTTGAGGCTCGCCTCGCCTAATCACCAAGTAGTTTTGTACTATGTATTGTAAAATACTTTTTTATTCTTTATTTTTTGACATTATAATTATAAAATAGGCACTATTAAACTAAAATATTCATTTTGTGTGTTTATATACTAATTTCTTTTCATTATTTTTCTTTTCTTCTTTTCCTATAACAAAAATAAAGGTTCAGCCCCTATATTTTTTGAATTTTCTTCTCCTTTTTTATCTTTTCATGAATATGTTGATTTTCTATACTTTAACATGAACTCTATACTTTTCTTATGAAAATTATGAATAATTATCAAGGAAATATGGCTATGGTACCTAGGGAACTAGGTGACTAGGCGATGCCTAGGTGCCCGCCTAGTCGACTAGGTGACAAGATGCCCCTCTGACACCCAACCTCGCCTTGGCGCCTTGAAAACTATGGATACCATCCTTAGACCTAGCAACTTTGATTCCCAAGAAATATTTGAGTTCACCCAAGTCTTTAATCTCAAACTCAGTGTTAAGAAATCTTTTGAGATGAGTAACTTCCCGAGTATCATTACCAATAATCACAATATCATCAACATAGACAATCAGAAGGGTCACTAAGGAATCTCTCCTCTTAACAAAGGGGCCAACTGAGAAGAAAGAGGTGATATGCGAATATTGCAAGAAACAACAACTTTAAGAAAGGTGGTCAATCTGGAAAGCCCAAGAATGCAAATGTTGCTATAGCATCTAAAGGTGGAAATAGAGAAAGTGTTGAAAAATCTGGTGTGGAGTAGCTAGCAGCCTTGAAGGCAGAATTTGAAAGATATGGGACGCTAATCACTTGGAGACTACTGTTGTAGCTTCCTCCTCATGCAACACCTCTACATCTACATTTTCCCATGTAGGCATTTGTGCTTCTACAAATCATGCTACAGTCTTAGGTAATCGTAGAATTCCTTGGATTATAGATTCCGGTGCATCAGATCATATGACCAAAATATCTAACTTTTTTTGTTCATACCAGCTCCTCTCTGGTAGAGAGAAGATTTCCCTTGCCGATGGGTTTCTTGCTCCCATCTCTGGCAAAAGATATTATAGCCTCTGACTCCCTTGTTTTGTCTTCTATCCTTCATGTTTCCAAACATAACACTGACCTTTCATCTGTTAGTAGCTTAACTAAATAATGAATTGCAGTGTAACCTTCTTTCCTACTCATTGTGTTTTTCAGGACCTGAAAACTCAGAGGACGATTGGGAGTGGCCATGAGGCGAATGGAATATATTTGCTAGACATCTCTGATTGAATCCTAGACTACTTACTGGAGTAGCTTTGGAATCTATCTGATCATTTTTCTTTTTCAGCATTGAGTCATTTGTTTCCAGAAACGTTTAAGGGAATATCCCTATCGAGTCTTCATTGTGAGTCATATGAACTTGCAAAGCATTATAGACAAACCTTTTCGGTGAGTAATAAAAGATCAGTTTCTCCATTCCATATTGTGCACTTTGATGTGTGGGGGCCATATCATTTATCTGCTATGGGGGTTACAAGTATTCATCCTTTTTATTGATGATTTTTGTCATTACACCTGGATTTACCTTATGAAATTTTCAAAAAATTCAATAACTTATTCTTACCCAATTTAATACTCGGATCAAAATATTCTGGTCTGATAATGCAAAGGAATATTTTGAGAAGAAGCCAACGAGAAGAAGAATAGAGAATGGAGAAGAAGGGAGAAAAAAGGAGTTCAATAATCTCCACTTTCTTCTCTCTAATCTTTTATTAATCTTATTAAGATTACATAAATTACAAGTTTTCCGTTAAGTAGGTGTCCGCCACATCAGCATACTTAGAAAACCTAAAGAGAACTAAGGCCCATTAAGAACAAATAACAAGAAGAACTAATCAATAAGATAGAATTGGGCTAGGGCCCATTTGGCCCAATCTCTCCACATTTTCTAAGATTGATCTTAATTGTAACTAAATTCAAACACTTGGGGGATAGAAAAAGGGACACAAGTCACCACTTTGGGGTGATTCAGGTGCTTAGCCTGAATATATGTTGATGACTTGATTCTATGTCATAATATGAAATTTATATTTTTGATGAAGATTATTGATAATTACTAATGAAAGATGGTTACTGGTTACCATAGAACCTAGAGAATTACCCTAGAATTCAAGGTTTTTATTTACAAAACATAAGAAAAAAAAACCTAGGAGACACCTAGGTGCCTACCTAGACAACTAGGTGACAAGGTGCCCATTGTTGCCTAACCTTACCTTCACTCCGAAAACTATGATTTTGATATTTAGCATAGCTATTTTTAATTATTTGACAAGTTTGCAATAAACAAAAACAATATTACAACTAGGAATGACCCCTTGTACTAAGTATAAAGCCACTAATCTAAGCTATTTCAATTTTTTAAATCATTTATATTAAAATTTTAGGTTAGGTTTTTTATTTGGTATTTTGATAGATTTTTATTTGACTTAAGAGACCATATTTTATCTAGAAGAATGGGCACACACCATTTATTATATCATTTGAGATTCACAACTTATCCTTATATGATAAATTTGATTTTGGTTTCTTATATATTTTAAAAAAATTAAATCAAGTTTAATTTGCAAACAACAACCTATTTGATAAAAAAATGGGACCCACATCATAAAGTCTTTATAGTAGCTCCTTATTTAAGTTAGTCTCATATCTACAGAAGAATTCAAGCTTCTCTACATTTTTGCTACATGTAGTTGAAAGAACAAAACTAATAATTTTTTTAGTTTGAACTAATAAAATCTGCACTTTTATTTACTGCTGCAAAAATTATTAATTTGTTTAATTTACAAAAGAGGAAGAAGAAAAGAAAGACTTCAATATAAGTGGAGTAACATATGATCGACCCCCATCCCAAAAGGAATCAAATATCATAAGGTAAAATATTTACTATTACATGTAAGACCCTAAGAGGGTCATGCAGACCAATGTTTCAACCACCCAAATCAATTGATCACTAACTAAGACAACTGTTTTCAAAGTATTTCCAATCTATAAGTTAGCACATTGGAATCATGAGTGGGTCACAGGTCAAACTGTCCAACTGGCCTCAATGGTGAGTTAAAAAGGCTGAACTTTGTAGGATTCTAATCATAAATTACAATGATACTTCAATCCATGATAATTGTGGGGATTAGAAATTAAAGCACAATTTAAACACAATTACAGATAAAATGACATAAATTCCCCTAGTTGGGGGGCATACTCCATATACCCCAACTTGTCCAAAAGAGATAACTTTCATTAATCAATCAATATAGTTTACTCTTTCCCAACTTAATCCTTGAGTATAAAAATCAGTCAACTAATCCATAGAATTCACAGAACAGGCAGGTTTAACACCAAGTACATTTTCTCTAACAAAGTGGAAGCCTACTTCTATATGCTTGGTCCTCTAAAGAAAAGCTGCATTCAATGCAACATTTTTAGCAAACTAATTATCAACCCTAAACTAACCTGAATTAAGTCAGGTTCATAATTTTCAATCCAAACCAAAACCAACCTTCAACCCAGCCTGATATTTTCAAGTTAGGTTCAGGCTAGCCTGGCCCAAGTTGCAACTTGCAACCCAAGATATTCAAGTAAATAACATTCACTCAAAAGAATTTCCAAAAAGAAAATAAATGAAAGCTCACAACAATAAACAGATAAAAGTGCCATAAGATTCATCAAAGCATGGCCAAAAAGGAGAATACGTGTCATAATTCTTTGCTATTAGACAAGAAGGGTTCGTGCATACCTGACTGGCCTTTCAATTCTTCAACAGCTTGCAATTTCTCTTTAGTTTTCTGCAATTCAGTTCGTAATGCCTCTATAGTATGCTTTGCCTCATTATCAACTGCCAAGGTGTTTACCATTCGCAGAACTTTTGTATTTGCAGCAGAGAAATCACCATGACCTAACTGCACAAGACAAACCATCCAAGTTGTTGAATGTAAGATTGTAATTGCACACATGTAAGTAAGAGAAAAGTATGCTATAATGGTAATATAGTGTAGTGATACAGTGGATCAGACCTGATATGTTTACTTGTGGTCCTATATATTCAGTTATCTTGTTGCTTATTTTTGCTTTCTTTTCGTTTTCTTGTACTGTTATAGGCAGCAGGGAATTTCTGTCTTTTCACTTTATGTTATGTTAAACACAAAAAAAAATACTGCTTAGGATGGCAGCAACATAACATTCTGCCCCCATATCTCTTCTATTCTTTTCTCTTTTTCGTCTTCTTTTATTTGTGGGTTATTTTTCATCCTAAAACAGTTCTGCTAACAGCAGTAACTTCAAGTTGGTATCAGAGCAGGCTTAGCTCTGCTCGTCATTCGTGAATCTCATGTAAGTTCTTCCTAGCCGGCTGCATGAGATTTTCTTAGGACTGGAAATTTATCTCTCTTTGTGGCCTGATTCTTGGAGATTGGTGGAGTTCAAAGCTTGCCTAAGACAATTCTGTTCTTGGAGATTGCCCAGCAGTTAGGAAGAATCAGAGAACTTAAGTTCAAGTGAGTTTAGGGCTTAAATCTCAGATTGAAGGTGCCACCCAGACAATTTCTGGGTGGTTATTCAACTTTCCTGAAGACTTGTAACAGGAGATAGGGTTCTGTGAGGAGCAGCTGCTCTTTTTCATCTTTCTCCAAGACTGTTACTAGGGTTTTTCTCTTAAAACAATAAATCTATTGGATTGTTGTCCCTATTCTCAGTTTTGGGGGATTTTTTGTATTCAAAAGAGGAGCCGACTATGTTCTTTTTCTTCTCTGTGTTGAGTCCAGCATGGAGTTATTTGGGAGTGAATAGAAATCTGCTGGAGAAGGTGCTAGAGGCGCTGTTAGTATGACTTATAAGTGATAACAACCCTTTTCAGATCACCACAATCAAATTTGATGGTTCAAACTACTTGCATTGGGCTCAATCTACCACGATGGCCATTGGAGGAAGGGGAAGTTAGATTATAACTGGAGACACTAAGAAACCAGCCAAGGAAGACACTACTTATGCAAAATGGGTTCAAGAGAATTATCTTGTGATGACATGGATGTACTACTCAATGCAGCCCCATATTAGCAAAAATTACCTTTGGGCAAAGACAACCAAGGATATTTGGGAAAATATGAAAGAGACTTACAGCGACTTGACGTGGCTAGGGATTATGAGTTGAAAAGTGACTTGAACAATCTGAAGCAGGGGGAGAAACCTGTATTGGTTTATTTCTCTACTCTGAAATCATTATGGCATGAGATAGATCACCTTGAACAATTGAGTAGGAAAGCAATAGGAAGCAGCAACTTAGAACAAGTTGGTTGAAAGAAACAGAGTTTTTGAGTTTCTTGAGGGTTTGAATTCTGATTTTGACATTGTTAGACAGCAACTTCTCACTAGGGAAACTGTTACCTTGACCCAAGCCTACTCCCTTTTGCATAGTGAAGAAAGTAGGAGGAAGGTTATGTTGCAAAATTATCAAAGGGAGGCAACATTAGCAGCTGCAAGACAGAAGCATGGTGGTGACTGGGAGAAAGAGATGAAGAATGAAGGAAAAAAGGGGGTGTTTTGTGAGTACTGCAAGAAACCTAGGCAATAGGCACACAAAAGACACTTGTTGGAAGCTTCACCAACCTTATACTAGAAAGATTCATGAATAAGAAGGAAAATGCAAATGCAGTTATTACATCAAATGGTTCTTCCCTTCTTAAACCTCGATCTACTTATTTGGAGGCCTTAGATGCAATCAGGGCAGTTTTGACACAGTTGGAGAATGAAGCTAGATTTATAGGATCATCCCGGCCTACCACTACCACCACTGCTCCTCCTTCCTCTACTTTAGCTCTTGCCCACTCAAGTACAAGAGCCACTGTTTTTCATGCTACTTGAATTATAGCCTCCATTGCATTAGACCATATGACTAGCTTGTCTTCATTATTCACTTCATATAATTTGTCTTCAAGCAAAGATAAAGTATCTATAACTGATGGCTCTCTTGTTCCTATTTCTAGAAAAGGAAATATCAGAGTTGCATTAGACCATATGACTGTCCATGAGATGAATGGAATCTACCTACATGAACACCCACTTCGAAGTGATAAAAAGAGTTGCGAAGTCTTTTGTTTCTAAGTTTGTGAGTCAGGTTATTCTTTGGTAAAATCATTTGGATCATTTGTCTTTTTGGTTTTTGAAAAGCATCCTTCCTGCATTATTTAAGCCAATTCAAATGTCTATTATGCAATGTGAGAGTTGTGAGCTTGCAAAACATTGTAGATCACTCTGTTTTTTAAGTCATAAAAGAAGTAATGTTCCTTTTGAAACTGTGCACACTAATGTGTGGGGGCCATATCATATTCTTGCTATGGGGGGATATAAGTATTTCTTATTGTTTGTTGATGATTATTTCCATTTCTCATGGGTTTATCTTATGCATTCTTGAGATGAGACTCTCACTTTAACTTGTGCTTTTCATCAAATGGTTCTCGCTCAATTCGAAGTTAGAATAAAAATTTTCAGATCCGGTAATGCCAAAGAGTACTTCACTAAACACCTAAACTCATATTTTCTTGAGTATGGGGTTGTTCACCAGAGTACATGTCCTCATACACCTCAACAAAATGGGGTGGCTAAGAGAAAAAATAGACATATCCTAGAAGTTGCAAAAAGCTTTATGCTGAATTCTAATGTTCCCATTCGCTTTTTGGCGGGATGGTATTCATACTGCTGTGTATCTCATCAACTGAGTCCCTTCCCGTGTTTTGGATATGAAAGCTCCTTTTACATTATTGCATCCTAAGAAAGATTTGTATACCATCCCTCTTAAACTTTTTGGGTGTGCTTGTTTTGTTCAAAATTTGGGACCTCACTGTTCTAAGTTTGATCCTAAGGCTAATAAATGTATATTCCTAAATGTATATTCCTTGGTTATGCATAAAATCAAAAGGGATATTGCTGCTATGATCCTCGTTTTGGCTCAATTTGTGTCCATGGAAGTTACTTTCTTTGAGAATGTACCTTATTACCCAGGTGTTTCTTATCGGGGGAGAGTAGTGAGAGGGATGTTCCTAGTCTTTAAGTTTCTCTGCATATTCCTATTCTTGAAGGAGAGTTGTGTAATGAGGGTGCTTGTCAGAGGTGTAAGGAGTTGAGGGTCTTTCACAAAAGGTGGAGGCAAGTTGATTTTGGTGCTCATAAGTAGTCCAGGCAAGTTCCTAAGACTTTTGCAGTTCCAGATTCAAGTACTTCCACCTTGCCTGTTGATACATCACTCAAACTTTTGATTCCTTACCTCCTCCAAATGATCTTGATCATCCCATTGCAGTCTGCAAAGGGAAGTGTTGGTGCACTTCATTTACTGCCCATTGCATATCTCACTATCTCAGTTTATCACCTATGGTTATCTTTCACCATCCTATAGGTCCTACTTGGCAACTACCTCTGTTGTATCTATTCCTAGATCTGTCCAAGAAGTTCTTGTGGTACCTAGTAGAACAATGCAGTGGAGGAAGAGATAAATGCCCTCATTAGGAATAAGACTTGGGAGCTAATAGACAAGCTAGAAGGGAATAAACCAATTGGGTGTAGATGGGTATTCACTGTGAAGCATAACGCAAATGGTTCAGTTGATAGGTATAAAACCCGACTAGTTGCAAACGGGTATACTTAGACTTGTGGCATTGACTACCTAGAAACCTTTGCACTTGTACCCAAGATGAATTGCATTAGGGTTCTATTATCCCTTGTAGCAAATTTTTCATGGCCTCTGTTCCAACTGGATGTCATGAATGCTTTCCTTAATGGTGATTTGCAGGAGGAGATCTATATGGAGTTACCTCCTAGTTTCTATGATGAAGCTGTAGGGAAGAAAGTTTGCAAATTGCAAAAGGCTTTATATGGTTTAAAACAATCTCCAAGAGCTTGATTTGACAGATTTAGATTGGCTCACTCTAAGAGCCTGATTTGGTTATGTATAGGACCACTCCAGCCATACTCTCTTCATTAAGAGAAGTGATGCTTCCCTTACCCTTTTTGCAGTGTATGTTGATGACATTGTTGTGACCGATAGTAATGCTGGTGAGATTGATTCTCTCAAACAATTGTTTAATAAGGAATTTGAATTGAAAGACCTTGGTGACCTACGATATATCTTGGGAATTGAAGTGGCCCAATCTAGACATGATATCTTCATTTTACAAAGGAAATATGTCATTGATCTCCTTGAGGATACTAGGAGACTAGGAGTTAAACCAGTAGACACACCCATTGAATTGAATCAACGGCTGGTAGGAAAGCTCCTTTATCTATGTCTTGCCCATCCTGACATCTCTTATACTGTTAGTGTTGTCAGCTAATACATGCATTCTACTAGAACCACTCATCTATTGGTTGTGGAAATATGTCATTGATCTCCTTGAGGATAGTAGGAAACTAGGAGTTAAACCAGTAGACACACCCATTGAATTGAATCATCGGCTGGTAGGAAAGCTCCTTTATCTATGTCTTACCCGTCCTGACATCTCTTGTACTATTAGTGTTGTCAACTAATACATGCATTCTACTAGAACCACTCATCTATTGGTTGTGGAAAGAATCCTTGCTTGAAAAGATGTCCATGTCATGGCATACTCTTTAAGAACAATGATCATATGAAAATTGAGGTGTATATTGATGTTGATTGGGTCAATGTGTTGGCGTAGCAGAAAATAATATGTTGTTGCTCGTTCAAGTGTTGAGGCAGAGTATAGGTCCATCACTCATGTTGTGGCTGCAGTGTTATGGCTGAGATTTCTTCTTGAGGAAATCAAGCTGCCATTGATATTGCTCACAACCCAATCCAGCATGACAGAACTAAACATATTGAGGTTGACTGCCACTTCATCCGAGAGAAAGTTGCTTCTCAAGATGTCTGCTTGCCATATGTTGCCTCTAATAT